TTTTAGCCATATATCTCTCAACTAACCCTATCTCTCATCAAAGATCAAAACACATTGACATTGATGTCCATTTTGTCAAAGAACACGTTAAATCCGGTTTCATAAGACTTACATATGTGAAGACACATAAACAAATAGCAGATATATTTACAAAAGCTCTCCCAAAACATAAGTTTGAAGATCTAACAAGCAAGTTGGCTCTCAAAAATATTTTCTGTCCAACTTGAAAGGGGCTATTACAATATATCATTGTCCTTTTATTATTTTTTATTTTTATTTAAACTATTAATTAGTTTTTTATTTGTTAGCTGTTAGTTTTAAATTTGTTTAGCGGTTAGCACGTGTCCATTAGTTTTTTTCTATTTTATTATTTTTCTTAAGTTATATATAGCTTTGTATTTTTTATTTTACAATCTATAAGTAATATTTTATTTAGTATCTTTCTCCATTTTTCTTTTATCATCTTTGCTTACTTTCGGCTCTTTGCTCATCACCTTTACTATTGAAGAAACCTTAATAATAAATCATTCCTTTTATAATGTTACTCACTGTGTACAAAATAAAATGCAAGAATAAGATAATTTAAGAGTGCACCGCGTGGCTCAGATATTTAGATCAAGATGCAGTGATTATAAAGTTTGTGACTAAAGTAACATAAACCTTTGTTTGCTAAATTGTAATATAATGATGTCACAAATTACATTAGTCTTCAAGCCATCTATCATTTTTCTTACTAAAGTTATTTCACCGTTAGAAGTAAGGTTTATAATAATTAACTAAGATTCGAAATTAGATGGCAAAAACGAATGACCAACATCGATAATTATTCTTATTATAACAGAATATAAAGTTTCATTTCGTTAACAACTTTTTAGTAAATTGATTGGCAGCTTTAATTTCAATTTTGCGGGAGTTAAGGTCAATGCGTCGGAGTCAAGAAAAATCAACAATTTGCGCGTTTAAAGATGAAAGGGACAATTTTTTAAAAATTTAATTAAAATATATGTATACCCTTTTACTTTATAATTCAATTATAACCCGTTAAGTAATTAAAACTTATTAAATTAATAATTGTTTAAAAATTTATACATAAAATAATTAAAAAATTAATTTTGATATACTATGATTGTACACAAATTTATACTCTTAATTAATTAAAAATATTTTTAAATGAGACTGAAGGTAATTATTACAAAATTCAATAATTATAAATGATGTGGCAATTATGATTGAAATTTTAGTGTAGGTTTTTTTTTGGCATTATTAATGTATTTTTATTTTAGTTCAACTTTAAATTAATTGTCAATACAATTTTTTTTACGATGACATAAAAGAGACAATTACATAAATCCTTCTTAAATTACTGGTAAATATATCCAGACCATTTTTATACAGAAAATATTCCTTTCTCCCTTAGGTGTCTTGTTTTTTTGGTTATTTTTTAAATAACTTGTTTTGAGTATAGTATATCATGAAAATAGGAGAATATGAGTATTTTTTTAAAAGTATTAACCTGTAGAAGTGATATAGAAAATAAGAGATATATGCTTAATTTCTGAATTGGTTAGGATTTAAGTATATTTATTATTAACTTTAAAAGTGATTAACATAATTATTTTTCAACAAATGATAAATATTTTTTTACTAAGATTTTGCTAAATATATTATTGTGAAATTAAATATACAAGTTATTCCTCGCCTCTTTTGGAAGTTCAATACTCTTTACGGCTTATTTTCCAACATTGAAACCATAAAAAGTGCATGACTACTTATTTTCAAATATTAAAGTTCACTAAAAAAAATTACACACACACAAATATTAATGGTTTCATTTTGGAAAATCAAGGGACTTAATGGATTATTCTCTTTTAAATATAAATAATATTGTATTATTTGTATTTTCAAAAAATACAGATAGATTTGTTATAACTCGTTTAAATAACTAATCCTTTTAGTAAAAAAGATTGTGCATAAAAATATAAAAAAAACAAGGGAAACGTTTTAGTCATCAAATTTCAAATTATAAAATAATATTGGAGTGAAAATTAATGAAGTTTCACTAGTTTATTTTGATTTGAACTTAATAATATAAATTGCAATAAATAACGTGTTTTTGAATGACAACTTTTTTAAAAGTATTTATCTAAATATTTTAAGTCAATTAAATTTTACATTAATAAAATTTTATATATAAATTATGAGTATTAATTTTATATTTTTTTTACCTAAAATCTTATTTTCCATTCAAATTATTTGTAAATTGAGTTGATTAAATTCTATTATACTCAATCTAAAATAAAAATTCTCAAAATTATCTTTCTTTAAAATTAAATCACAAATCTTATAAAACACATACACATTTATCAAATTTTCATTAAATTTTTTATTTCCTCTTAAAAAATTTTATTTCATTAAAAACTGAAATATTAAAATAAAAAAATTTAAATTGAAAATACAAAATATAATTAAACCTTTTTTTAAAGATTTTTTTAAATAAATCTTAAAAGAATAATAAAAAATAATTCTAATCTTAAAAATATATTGAAAGAAAAATCCCCAAATTATGTTAATTTAATTAATTTAATAAAAGGTTTGTGAAGTTATTTCAAAGTTTTTTTTTCCCATTGTAATGTAGATATCTGTAGTATAAAAATAAATAATATATATATATATATATATATATTATTAATTTACTATCTCAATATACTTCTCTTGTACATTGAAATTGAGAAAAAATAATTTAAATATAGAAATTAAAAATATTATATAGTAAAATTTATAATTTTAAAGAAAATTACAAAATATAAGATTTAAAAGGTAATTTTTTTAATTCTAACAAATTAACTCATTTTATTTAAAAATCACTTAATGGTTATCAATCTGTTTTCAAAAACATCTAATAAATTTTTTTGAATACCCATTTTTCATATTTTTTTTATTTTATATTTTTATATATCATACTAAAAACCTCCTAAAATCATTGCGTAAAAAAGATAAAAAAAACATAATAAATCATTCAATAATAGAAGAGAACCATGGAAAAGATGTCGAGTTGTCCGCACCAACTTTTAACTATAAAATTTATAAGTTCAATTATATTCTATATAAAAGTAATATTCTTTGTAATAATTTCTTATAAAGTCGTATTTGTTAAAATTTAGTTTTTGCTTTCAATTCATATATATATATATATATATATATCAAGTGTTGAGCACGCATATATCTAGCTCATCATTCCTAAACATAGTTTAAATATTTGTAAAATAATTTCTTCTCTCACTTTCTCCCTCTAATCCTTCTCAAACTCACTCTTAATTTTGCCAAATCTTACTCATTATCTTCGTTGCTCTTCAATTCTCTTGCAAACATAATAGAAATGCAAAAGGGAATTCTTCCCATCAACAAAAACCCCTATTCCCGCACCTCACTACAACCCCATGAACCCCTAGCCCAAACCCAACCTCTCAAACTCGGCCGCAAGCTTTGAGAATCGTGATGAAAGAAAATTGATCCAATACAATTTCACGATTCTTCAAATGATTGAAAAAGGGAAAAACTTTATTGGGGGCAATTGCTGATAGAATAGCCTCTGAGCATTGTGTTGAACATGAAAAGATCTGGTTTTCGAATGAGTGAAAATGAAGGCTGCATAGTGGATATCTAATGCGGAAGCTGCGAGGAGTTTGCTGAGAGTGAAAGGAACGTGTTGTTGAAAAAGAAATGGTGTATGGTCTCACTTGAAAAAGGAAATGACATTGATTTTATTTCATTGTATAGTAATTTAAATCTCTAGTGGTCTCACTAGTAAAACATGAGACATTGAATTTCGGAATGGTGTATGATCCATTTAATAAGCCCTTGTTAATCCATCTATATGCAGCCTGGGTTAAATGATAGCCATCCCAGCTAACATATTGTGAAGGATCATCACAAGCAGAGATGTTAGTAAGAGGGTAAAGCACTTGAAGCCGATTTAGTTCAATTTGAAGCATTTCATTGTGGTATTCGAAAAACATGTGTAACCATTTCAAACAGCCAGCTTGGTCATACTCCTCTTCATCTATAGTTGCAAACCTTGTTAAATAGGTTGAATTGCATCCAAGTGGTAAACTTCCAAGAACCATAAATGTTACAGGCCCTAAATCAATCAACTCCTGCTTACAATAATAAACCAACCAAGCCATTCGCTTATAACTCAGAAGAGAGAAGAAATCACAAATCCTTAGTTTCTCAAAAGACTCTGCCAATATAGTGAGGTTGAGAAGTAATAGAGGGAGAAAGAGACAGACAATGAGTATGCTTAGGAACGAAATGAGGATCATGGTTCTAGTAGTTTTTTTTTTATAAATATTTAAAAATTTATTAATAAATTTTATTTTTAAATAAAAATATTAAAAAATTAAAAGATTAAATTAAATTTCTATTATCTGCCTCATCCTTTACATAAAAAAGTTGATGATATAAATTAAATTTTAATTTTTTAAATCATTTAAGAACTGAATTCTAATAATTCTTTTTATAAAAAATCATAAGAGAAAGTGCTATTTTTATAAAAAAATATATAATTAAAATTATATATAATTATAATATAATTTTAAATTTTTTTATTAATGTCAGTTCTTAAAAATAAAGATAAGTAATTAATAATAGTAAAATTTTATTAAAAATTATTTATTATATTTTATAATTTTAATATAATAATTAAGTATTTTTTATAAATTTTTTTATTTATAAATATTTAAATTTATTTTTAAAAACTGATGTTAACAAAAGTTTTTTTTTAAATAAAATATTTTAATAAACGCTGGACACTGAACACCTCGGCATGAAGTTACAGGATCCTGATCCGGTTAACACCTTCATAAAAAAAATGTCAGGTTAACTCCATAAATAAAAGGATAAACAAGGGACATATCAGTAACTACACAAAGCAGAGTATGCCAGAGATAATGATCCTGACATATACATCTATGGAATTGCATCATTCATCATGATGATGAATCATGGTAGACAGACATGGTGCATGTGCACTAGAGAGGCGCAACAGAGAGAAGTAGAGCGGATTTGACTTCAGTTCTTGAGAGAAAGAAGAAAGAGAATAGAAGCGAAAAGAAAGAACGAAAAGAATGAAGAAAATTCAATCGGATCCAATACAAACTTGACGTCCGCAATGACCCTCTTTCTTTCTCTCTCATCTCTTTCTCTCTCCCTCTCTAAAACACACACCATGACGCAGCAGTAGCAGCTACAGCAACACTTAGTTTCACTGAGATTAAAGACGATGTTGCTCATGCACTGAGAAAACCCTAGATACCCTTTGCTCGCATAGTCTTGGTGCCAATTCGGAACCCAACTTCAAAGTTCCAAGCTTTTCAACTCAATTTCTCAATTTTCAACTCTCGGTGAGTCATGGCAACTCTTAACGTAACACTTTGACGTTTTACCCTTTCGCCTCTGTTTCTTACTCTTTTTCCCTCAATTACCACACCCCATTTATCTCATTTCTAGCTTTGGATCGTTGATTTGCTTCAACTACGGCTCGATCGGCTGCTATTTTTGTCACCACTGTTTTTCACTTTGATAAATGTTACGTTTGCATCTTCTGATAATTTTCTTTTTCTCTTTCAATTCTGCTTGGACTTGTTTTAAAATAAATTAAAAAGTGTTAATTTTGAACTGATGCTTGGGGTTTTATTGATTTTGCTGTGAGATGCGTGTCTTAATTTGATAGAAGCTGTTTCTTTCTTAAAAGCAATTAATGTTCTTGAAATTTTAGAATCTTTTTTCTTCTTTTTATTGGTTTATTGGATATTATGGTGTGCACTGGTTGATGGGTTGGATCTGAGAAGTCATGTGTTGTACAGAGTTTCATGCGAAAGCCGTTTGGAGGTTGCTCATTTAAGGGAGGTAGCGCAATTGTAATGTTCAGAATCAAAGAATGTTTCATGGTTTGGTTTTTCTTTGGTCTATGGCTTGTGTTTGGTAAAACTGAACACCACATGCTTCTATTGGATCACAGTGAAGACTTTGGTCTTCGACTCTGGCTTGAGCGTTGTGCCTTGTATCTCACAAGCTGTTGTGTAATTGTAGTTTGTTGAAATCATGTTTTATGTAACTTAGTTGTTATGCTTAGGTAATTGCTTGAAGACTCTGATTCTTAAAGATGGTGCCTCCGGGGCCACCCACTCCCATTGGTGGTGCCCAGTCTGTTACACCCTCTCTTTTGAGATCAAATTCAGGAATGTTAGGAGCTCAAGGGGGTCCCATGCCTTCCCAGACATCTTTCCCTTCGCTTGTGTCACCGCGTACACAGTACAACAACATGAACATTCTAGGAAATATGTCTAATGTAACTTCGATACTGAATCAATCTTTCCCAAATGGAGTCCCGAATCCTGGGCTCTCTGGTCCAGGAAGTAGCCAGCGTGGAGGTATTGACGCTGGAGCTGAAGCAGATCCACTCTCCAACGTTGGCAATGGATTAAACTTTAATAATTCTTCGTCCACGTTTGTACAGTCAAACATAGTGAGTCCTGGTTCCTCTGGTCAAGGTCAGGCTCAACAATTTTCAAATCCTTCTAGTAATCAGCTCTTGCCAGAACAACAACATTCCCAGCCGCTTGAAACTCAAAATTTCCAACACAGTCAGCAGTCAATGCAGCAGTTCTCTTCTCCTCTGAATACACAGCAGCAGCATTTTCAAACAATTCGAGGAGGGATGGGTGGTATGGGACCAGTAAAGGTGGAGCCCCACGTAAACAACGATCAACTTGGACAGCAGCAGCAGTTGCAATCATTGAGGAATCTTGCTTCAGTGAAACTGGAACCACCACAGATGCAAACAATGAGAACTCTGGGACCAGTTAAAGTGGAGCCCCAGCATTCTGATCAACCATTATTTTTGCAGCAGCAACAGCAGCAGCAGCAACAACAGCAGCAACAATTCCTCCATATGTCAAGCCAGTCCTCTCAGGCTGCTGCCGCCCAGATCAATATTTTGCGCCATCATAGGCTTTTGCAGTTGCAGCAACAACACCAGCAGCAACAACTCTTGAAGGGAATGCCTCAACAACGGTCCCAACTACCACAACAATTTCAACAGCAGAATATGCCTGTAAGATCTCCTGTGAAACCAGTATATGAACCGGGGATGTGTGCTAGGCGGTTGACACATTACATGTATCAACAACAACATAGACCTGAAGTAAGAACCAAGCTATGTATTGACCTTATTCTATGTGTTAATATCATGTCTTATTAAGATGCAGTTTGATTTTATGTAGGACAACAATATTGACTTCTGGAGGAAGTTTGTTGCTGAGTATTTTGCTCCTAATGCCAAGAAGAAATGGTGTGTTTCTATGTATGGTAGTGGGAGACAAACAACTGGAGTTTTTCCTCAGGTCTGTTCCTAGAGAAAACCTTTAACTAATTCTGATACCTTGATACCCTAAGCCAAGTTCATAGCTTAGTAATTGAATGGTATGTTTGATTGTACCATGCCCAGTTATTAGCATCTTGATTTTGTTGTGGTTGCCATATTGTAATTTCTCAAGATTCAGTAACTATTGCCTTAAATGTTGCCATGAATTGTTAATGCTATTCAAGGAACCATATATAGTAGTTTCATTGATGCTAAAATCAGTTTAACCTAAAAGATGAATCCTTTAAATATTTTCAGGATGTATGGCACTGCGAAATATGTAATCGCAAACCAGGCCGTGGGTTTGGTAAGTTTTGTTTTTTGGGGTTATTTTTTCTGCATTTCCTTGTTCAGTCTATTTTTGGTTCTTTTGCCATTTGAATGCTGGCATCTTAATTTTTTGTCACATATATGTAAATGTGATTTGGTTGCAGTTGCACAAATCTCGTTCTGAATGGTCATTTTTTTGAAATTTTTTTCCAGAAGCAACTTTTGAGGTTCTTCCCAGGCTTTTCAAGATAAAGTATGAAAGTGGTACTTTGGAAGAACTACTTTATGTTGACATGCCCCGTGAATATCATAATTCCTCTGGTCAGATTGTTCTAGATTATGCAAAGGCAATACAAGAAAGTGTTTTTGACCAACTTCGTGTTGTTCGTGATGGTCAACTTCGAATAGTTTTCTCTCCAGACCTGAAGGTTACGCATAGAAATAATAACTTTTAAATTCTATACAAAAAATGCTTGTATATTATTATCATTGTTGACTTTCTCTTTGTATGAGGGAAAGATTAATTGACATTCTCTTGTTTGTTATTTCATTTGCAGATATGTTCTTGGGAATTTTGTGCCCGGCGCCATGAAGAGCTAATCCCCAGAAGATTGTTAATACCGCAGGTTGCTAATAGTTTCATTCTGAGAGGACTTTGTAATTATAATGATTAGGTTCTTCATCAATTAAATAGACAAGATATGTAGCTGATTGAATATTGATTACTAAACTAATTACTAAATATTGTCTGTTGATTTTTAGTCTTGATATTTGTTCTTTTTTTTTTCCCATGACTGTAGGTCTTAGTAAGTTTTGAGATTGTTATTCGGTTAGATATTTGCTAGGATCTATGGATTCCTTATTTTTGCTGCGGGTATTGTGATTAATATTTAATATTTTACCAGGAATGCTGGTTTGTTTGTACTGTAGAGATTTTAACAAGGCCGTGCATTGATATATTATACATTATGGTTATTATTTTTATATGTACTTATTATTATATACAGGTTAGTCAGCTTGGAACGGTTGCTCAAAAATACCAGGCTTTTACTCAAAATGCAACGCCCAATGTATCTGTTCCAGAGTTACAAAATAATTGCAATATGTAAGTCTGTTTTTCCAGTTATTCTTTACGTTAATTTCTGTGCCTTTTATTTATTATCTATTTTTGCCGTGTTTTACTGCCAAATCTGTGAAAATTCTGCTGATGCATAGGGCATGCCTTCTTTAAAACTTGAATATTATGTGTTCGTTGTCTTCTAACTTTTTTCCAAGACCATGGAATACTTATTTTCTTTTTGAATATAGATTTTACTTGGACGTCTCACCAAGCTTGTTAATATTTTAGCACTTATGCTTCTTCTCCAGGTTTGTTGCATCAGCCCGTCAGTTGGCTAAAGCCTTAGAAGTACCATTAGTTAATGATTTAGGATATACTAAGAGATATGTGCGCTGCCTACAGGTAGGGTTCCATTCTTAAGATATCATGTATATATTTTCAATATCTATTTTTAATCTAGTTACTTGTGGGCAAATATACATTAATTTCTTTTTAATGTTTGAAATTACAATTGGTTTCTTTTTCTGTAACTACTATGTTTCTTTTGTGGCACCATCATAATTCATAACCCTGCTTGTTGGAATGCTATTTTGTGAAATTTGTGAACAGAACACCCCATATAGCAAATAGCAATTATACTGGTTTCTGTTTATGTTTGTATTAGGATCTTCTCCTAAGAGAAGACTAGGGACCCAGTAATTGTGGGATGATTTTTTGTGGTGCCTTTTATATTTTGGTAAATAAATTGACTTCTGTATTTTTTGGGGGATTGGTTATCAAGGATTAATAAATCAAGAGATTTTGTCATTTGATCAAAAAGAGGGAAAAATTGGGTCTTTTTTTTGGCCAAAAATACTGTATTGGTAAAGAGTAAATGATAAATTTATCAGAAAAATTATATGTTTCATCTAGAGGATAATCTCAAACAAATTCTTTTGAGGAGGATACAGTGATTTAATATGACAAACTTAGTTTCTTGTTTATGTTGCAGATATCAGAAGTGGTAAATAGTATGAAAGACTTGATAGATTACAGCAGAGAAACAAGAACTGGACCTATGGGTAAGTTGGTAGTTTACTGGTTGATTCCTAATTTGAAGTGAAGATATGAATGAGTCTATAAATAATGTTTTATTAAAATGAGAGCAGCTGTTCCAATAAAGTGTTCCAATGATGTTTTACCCTTTCTAATTAAACAATGAGCATTATATAGAAATTGAGTCTTGATGCATTTAATTTCCTACTCTGCCTTTATATATTATAGTTGAAAATTGTTTTTGGATATCACTTTTTGTCTCAACATTATCCTTCTTCTTGGTTGATATTTGGAGACATTGCATCAACCTTTCTAATAAGCTATGCCTAGTAATGGAATCTATTCCAGATGCAGTTGCCTTTGATTGATGAAAGAAGGGACTTGAAGATACACAGATTGGTCTTGGATACTCAACTTGGTGTAATAATGTATTTTTAAAGGGTCTGTCAGTGGAGGACATTTTTTATGGAGGATTGATTGAAATTTCAATGAAGTGTATGGTTTGAAAGTTAGCCGAGATGGAATTATGTCTTGTTGAGCCTGCATGCAATTCATGCTTTTATAGTCTGGAGAGAGAGAAGTAAATTGCTTTGGTTACTTCACACAGTTATCAAGGAATAGCTAACTTCTGTATACTCTATCCAATTGATTTATGCCTAGTCACTGAAATTGCAGTGTGGTCCCTCATGGTGTTTTGCTCAGATGTTGTTGGCAAGATAATAACATGAAATGTTAAAGGGAATAAAGAGCAGGCAATTAGAGTTCATAATACCTCCACTTATGATGATTTATGTGTTGGAGGTTACCTATTAAGCTATTAAAACTTGAGAGTTGGGATTGTTATTTGGGAAGGAAGAGTTAAAGATCTTCAATTTTTTGTCAACTCCTTTTGTACCTCTCCTTCTGTTAGCTGTTTTACTTTGTTACTTAAATCCCGTTTCTGTAGTCTGGTATCAATGGCTTGGTACTTTCTAAGATTATGATATCCTCATGTCTATTTGGAGAGTCAAGGTTGTGTGATAAATCATTCATTTAATATTTGCGGATTAGGGAGGTTGGTAATGTGTATGTTTGAGGTCAAGATGCCAGTGTAGGAAGTTGCGTGATCTTCTTTGAGGAAATAAACTGTTCCATATTTTGCTTTTTGTGTTCCGAGTATGGAATCATTTTGGTCGCTTGACATTGTTTATATGGGCAACCAATTTTGCAGTGATTTCTCTCTTTCATATCTGTACCTAATTGGGAAAATGAGTTCTATCTTTTCTCTGTATAGTTCTGTAATGTTGTATCAGTTAACCAGAGGAAAGTTTAGGTCTTTGTGATATCTTATATGGTGGATTTTTTTCTTGTTATGAAGATTTTGCTTTCTTATGTTTATAATTGTTGCCAGCTGTTTAATCATGATAATGGAGGTAATGCAAATTCTTTTTTTTCTCCCCTCTCTCAGAGAGTCTAGCAAAATTCCCTCGGAGGACAAGTGGATCATCTGGACCTCGCAGTCAAGCACTACAGCATGAAGATCAATTACAACAGCAGCAGCGACAACAGCAAATGGTGGCCCATAACTCAAATGGTGACCAAACCTTGGCACAAGCTGCCATCATGCAAATTGGTTCTAGCAATGGTGTGGTTAGTGTAAATAACTCTGTCAACTCAGCATCCGCATCAACCACCACAAGCACTATTGTTGGACTTCTTCACCAGAACTCTATGAATTCTAGACAACAAAATTCAATGAACAATGCAAGCAGTCCATATGGAGGTAGTTCTGTTCAGATTCCATCCCCAGGTTCCTCCAGTACTATGCCCCAGGCGCAGCCAAACTCATCCCCTTTTCAACCACCAACACCATCCTCATCTAACAATGCTCCACAAACATCTCTCCCTGCTTTAACATCTGCCAATCACATGAGTACAACAAACTCGCCAGCTAATATTTCCCTGCAACAGCAGCAGTCATCTCTTTCTGGTGAAGCTGACCCTAGTGATACTCAGAGTTCAGTCCAGAAAATCATACAAGAGATGATGATGTCCTCCCAGATTAATGGCACAGGTGGAATGGTGGGTGTTGGTTCTCTTGGGAATGACGTGAAGAACGTAAATGGCATTCTGCCAGTGAGTGCCAATACAGGGATCAATGGTGGCAATGGCCTGGTGGGGAATGGTGCATTGAACAGTAATTCAGGTGTTGGGGTTGGTAGTTATGGCACAATAGGTCTTGGTCAATCCACTATGCCTAATGGCATCAGAGCTGCAATGGTAAATAATCCGCTTATGAATGGAAGGGGAGGAATGGCGTCTATTGCTCGGGATCAAGCTATGAATCATCATCAAGATTTGTCAAACCAACTACTTAGTGGGCTAGGGGCAGTAAATGGTTTTAATAATCTTCAATATGATTGGAAACCTTCTCCTTGAGAGCTTTTGTAGATGGTATGGATTTTGTGGTTCTTGACAGCTGCTCGTGCAGCATGAGCATGAGCAATTGTATTGCCTTAGGCCCTTGATGATGGCAGAATGCATTTGGGTTGGGTAGTGATAGGGCGTAGGCCACTGTGCCAATATACGATTTTATTTTTAAGAAATGAAAATTTGTTGGCTGGTTGTGTGGCTGAAGGGGCTGATTTTCCTTGTGAATTCAAGTGTAACTTTTTATATTAATTTTCTTATGAGCTTTCACAAACGCATCGGACCCATGAGGAAGGTGCCAAGTTTTGGGCTACGAAATGCAACTGGTTGTTGGGAGAATAGTTGGATATTTTCCCAAGCAATGATCAATTTGAAGTTTCTCTGCAGAAGGAACTAATCAACGTTCAACCATTGAATAAAGTCTGGTTATCCAATGTAATCTTTACAAAATGAAAAAAAAAAAAGACGAAAGATTAAAAGTGTTATTTGAAGTGACGAAACCATAGGATGGAAAAATTGTCCTTATAAACAGACTATCTTTTGGCTTGTAGGGCATGGAAAAGAATGGAGAATGAAATTTGCAATCTCACTTTTCTTATTTCTCCCATTCCACTCCTTTCGTTTATGGCATTCTAATGCGTGCCGTTTTCATAATTTTTCTGAGCTTATAAATCAACATATTTTTCCACTGTTGCGGATAGAGTAGACTTGGGAACTGCACCAATGACACTTTCTTTTTTCTCTCCATTCTTGAAGAACAGAACTGTTGGTATGCTTCTGATGCCATATTGTGTTGCTATGTTTGGACAATCATCTGTGTTAACCTTGTAGCATGCAATTTTTCCAGCATATTCTTTTGCTAACTCATCGATGACTGGTGCTATCATTCTGCATGGACCACACCATGGTGCCCAAAACTCTACCAGCACAGGAGTCTCACTTCCAATGACAAGGTTATTCCAGCTTGAGTCAGTCACTACTTTAACTGCCAGTTTCAGGATGTGTATTATTTCATCAGACGAGGCACTAAATAGAGGATCAAGTGACTATTTGGATCAACTTATTTGAAATAATTGCTTAATTTTGCCAATTTCGTGAGACAATTTTAAAAACAAGCAATAATTTTTTCTATTAAAAGTCATTTTCAAGCATGCACTAAGCGTGGTTAAAACTGCTAACTAAATGCATCCTATGTCTTATGGACAAAAAGATTGGGAAATTAGTACAAGGAAACGAGTGATTCTATACATCAATTTCAAGATGAAATTGGAAAATCAATCTGCTCATTCAAGAAAATACATAGGTGCAAAAATGTCTACACGAAATCTTGCACCACAATGACATTCCTGACTACGTGAAATTTTAACTTGATCTGGCACTCTTCCTAGAGCACCTGGCACTAAATTTATTTGAGTTTTGTCAACGTCAGTCTCTAAAATTAATTTTAAGCATATAATAGTTAAAGTTTTTTCTTGAAAAACGAAGCATTGTTATACATTTGCATTTTTAATGTAATTAATACTTCTTTCATCATAAAAACTTAGCACTTTAAGTCACTTAAAATCATAACATTTTCCTATAATTATATTGCAAAGTTAAGGTGCAAGTCCAGTCATAAAGCATGTTCTAGTGTAGTTTTTGAAACTAGATCATCCAGTTTAATACCTTCTGCATCTTCACTCCTTTTTAAGAGACACTGAAATTCATAATGAAGAGGTAAACTGGAAAACCATGTAAAAAACAGGTTTCTTAGTAGAATATAAAAAAAAAGGTACCAAGCAACTAGCAAAGTGGTGGATAATTAATAACCTTCATTTATTGCTTCCCGAGCATTGCAAATAAAACGAGATTTTCTGTGGGCACCACTGGTTGATAAAAGAGATGGGTATGATACTTTAGAGTTTAACATGGATTTCTTGAAACCTCTCTGAGTTCGGAAAACAAGCTTTTCCCTTGAGGTTAAAAAGATTGGAGAAAGACATTGGGGTCTGGCTGTGCCAACTGTGGTTACTCTTAAACAGTTCTCCAGGGCCATGCTGCTTTTGTGTAACTCAGTTAAACAAAATTGTGCGAAAATTGGACTCTAAAGGCTTTCAGGACTTGTGGATAAGCTCCGATTCTGTGTTGCTTTTCAATTTATTTGGTTTGATTATTATCTATATATGTGGATGTTATTACAAGATTGTGAGGTTCTAAGATGGCTCAAATTCATGTGGATATCATTTATGTTTTCATACCTTGCAACTTTTTTTCCCCACTAAAATGTACAAATCTTCCAAAATTCTTAAAACCTAAAACGGAGGTGTGCATTAACTACACAAAAGGATAGAGAAAGAGCTAAGAAGTAATTCCTTACCTAGTATTATTAATATTCTAGAAGATATCATAAATTTAGAAAATTGACTAGGTTTTCTAATTCTCATTTTCTTTTTGTTAATACTTTTAGCTTATCAAGTACCAAGCTTTCACATTTCAGTTCACCAATTTAGGCTATTGGGTATTAATTATATCTTATTTTTGTAAGGATTTAAGTTATTTACATTCCTCACATCTGATTGAAGATAACTATTATGTTTTCTTTTATTGTAAATATTATAATATAATAATGTTAGAAGTGTCAATTACTTATTTACTCACTCAAATGCAAATGAAATTGTTAATGAGCAATGAACATCCACAAAGCCACGAATATATAGCACTCTTTGATCACTATACGTTCCATCAGTATATGTATGTCATGCATATCAAGAACATAGACTCTACTTATTACTGTAGCATATCATCTACACTAACCAGACTTTCTTGAAACCTTGGGGTCTCTAATGAAGGCTTTGAGACAACAAATATTGTATTTGAAGAACAATTTTTCTGGATTTGTTCTCTGAAATTGCTGTATAATATTTTATTCATAATATGTAAAGGTTAACAAACCGAAGAAGATATATTTTGGATTTGCAGTTCTGTCCTTATGGAAAAAGAATTTCAGAATTATTCTCTTGATGAAAACAAATACTATGAGCCAAACGGGTTGGTAGTGACAGTAAATAAATGTGCAATGTCAAATATCTGATATATAGAAAATGTCCATTCGATTCAACTTTCTTCAAATGATTGTGACCAGACCACTACAAGGCATCATAAAGCTGGTGGTCCACTTAACATGTTAATAACTACATAACATGTAAATAACTAATCAATAGTTTGTTGCTATTAAATCTTAAGTAAGAAAGATTCTTACTCTCATTCCTGTTTATGAGAAACTCTCTTCTTGGGCAGACAAATCGGAAGTTGAAGAGCCTTATCTGTTTAATGATTGACAACCAATGTCCATGATCTTCTATAAATTGTCGATGGTGGACCAACATGATAATTTCATTTCATAATTTACAAAACATCTTTTTATTAAACAGTATACATGAAAGGCAAACGGAATATAAATTGATATAATTTAACGAGTGTTACAAAATGATCCATTAAATTGGCCTAAACCAACATGTCAACATGCATTATTGGACATATTTTTCCCAGCAAATTACTATTTGTTTGATGTGTGACACCACATTACCATGCCTGCCTGCCCTTCACGAACTGCAAATTATTCACAAGTTGCCTGCATACAAAAGACTGTTCACCATTCTTCCATTCCATCATGTGCATTCACGCATAGATAAAAGATACATGATTGTACGGTCAATATTTTTTCATTTTATTCTCATATAAAAATACATTTTATTATAAATGATCAAGATTTTAAAAATGTCACATGACTTTAGTAAATTGGTTATGTGACTTTCATCAACATTTGCTATTAATCATTTGTATGTAATCATATGTTCAATATTTACTCCTCTCACTTTCATAAAATGAACTTTTTTTTTGTTAAAAATACATTTAATATACTTCATTGAAAAAAAATAAAAGAGACTTTTTATTTTTATTATTTTTTAATAACAAATTTCCTCTTAAGTTCAAGCCATTAATTTAGCTTATTTAAATTTATAGCTTAAATGGTTAAATAAAAATATAATCGTTAATTTAAAAATTAAGACTTTGGTAACATATTATATAAAATATCAAATTATTAAAATTAATTTCCTTAACTATTCAATAAAGACAAAATTTAGATATTTTTGTATTATTTTTCATTTAAACTAAGATTTTACCTCGATTATTGGTATTAATATTCAATGTCAACTTTTATTGTACCCACAGTTAAAGTAAATTATTAATTTAGTTTAAAAATAATATTAAAAATTTAAAATACTATACTTAAATTTTGTCAATTCAAAAAAGAATCGAAGATAGAATTTTTGTGGCTTCGTGCTCAACTCATTTCGGTTACAGTTACTTCATCGGATTTACTGGTTACTTTTTACACTTTTTTTTCTTTTCATATTTTTATTAAAAAATTATGTAATTTTTTTTTTCTAAATCCTTTATGATAATAAAAAAATTTCTCAAATAATTTTTTAAAATTATATTTTCATATTTTTAAAAATTAATCTTCAAAATTATTAATCATTCCCAAAAATGAATTTTTACAATCAGAATTCTGCATCTCTGAAAATTAACTTTTGAAAATGTTACACGCCACAAATATATTTTCTATCATTTTATAAAAATAATTTCATGTGTGTCACAACTGGTTAAACAAAAAGCGGCCAGAGCAGTTTGTTGTTTTGTGCCGGAAAATATAATTGTCATAATAATTATTTTAACCACCAATTTTTTTTTTTTGTAATGATACTTTTGAAAATTAATTTTTAAGAGTACAAAATCTTAATTCTGAAAACTTATTTTCAATGCATAAAATCTTAATTTTAAAAATTTAGTTCTCAAAAGAATTAATAATTTTGACAATTAATTTTCAAAAATATAAAAATTAATTCCACATTTTGTGCCTTACATGAAAATATAATGTCAGTGGTTAAGGAAAAAGAAAGTTTGTGCTTCACATGAAATTGGTATTTCTTCTAAATGTTATAAAATATTTTTAACAGCAAATTTTTTTTAATGACACTTCCAAAAATTAATTTTTGAGAATGTAAAATCTAAATATGAAAATTTATTTTTGAAAATTAATTTCTAAAAATAGAAAATTAATTCCACATTTTGTGCCTCACATAAAAATCTAATATTAGTGATTAAACAAAAAAAAAACGACAAAAATAGTTTGTGCTTCATATGAAATTAGTTCTTCTTTTAAGTGGCGCAAAAAATACATATGTGGATGCTTTGATCTGTGAGAATGTAAAATCTTAATTCTGAAAAGGTGAAATCTTAATTTTAAAAACTTATTTCTGAAAAAACTTAATAATTTTTGAAAGGTCTTTTTATTATCATAAAGGGTACTTAAAAAAATACAAACCTTTTTAACAGAAGCTAGGAAAGAAAAAAAAATGTTGCAAAAAGGAATTGCCTCGGATTTAATGTGGACCGGGCCCGTCATTTCTTGGGTGTGTTCGTCATATTAAAACCCGTGCTCCTTATAAAAAACAAATAAAGAAACCTCTGTTCATGTAGATTAAAAAAAATGAAAAAGAAAAAGAAAAACCTTTGTTGATACTTGACAGATTGTCTGAAAATTGGCACTCGGTGACAGAGATGCGATGCAATGTGTTTAAGTGATGGTTATTAATTTTTCTGTTTTCCGGACTTTTCTTAGCTCAGGCTGTGAATTGTTTGTTAGAATTCAATTGGGATAGAATGGTTGAGAGTTTTCAATGTTGATTGTCCTGCTTATGTAAAAACTAACCTTTTATGTGTATAGAAATTGATTGCTTTCCCTTCATTAGAGGCTTCTTCTCAATAGATCCAATTATATTCCCCTTGAAATGCAAAATTAACACATCACCAATGCACCAAAACACAACTCTTCACACAAACAGTTGTAGGCTTTTGAAATGTATAGCTAATCTCTATCTATGAACTATCTACAAGAACATTCTTGTTATGCTTTAGTTGTTTGTTGCGTTGTATTTATTCTGTACATAGCAGGACTTCATCAATCTGTTGTGCTTTTGCAGTCAAGTTAGATGATGGTTTCAAGACACCAGAAACTTTTATTTTTACAATTTTGCTACCTTGTGCCTACGAGTATACAATAAGAATACATCTAGTACAATTATTATTAAAAATCATAATATCATAAGATCTAATGTAATCGATATTAAATGTTATAATTTTTAAATTTTACTATTCATTATTTTTTTATTGTCCTTGGATACATGTTGGAAAATTGTTATTATTATAAACCTTGCTAGGATCTTGGAGAGGAGCCAATAGTGCTAAGGATCCCCACATAAGAGCTTCGGGAGGAGGAGGCAAAAGAGAGTGAGAAATATATGTTCCATCACAGTGTTGAACTTTTCATTCATAACTTCCAACCATGTGAGTGAGTGGGGAGACACCATAGGCTAATTTATTTAACTTGTATCTTATTGTGCGTTCATCTGACCACAAAGTGACATGAATTAATTAGGTTCTACGTGGGGTTTGAGTAATGAAACAGGTCGTGTTCGAGGACTTGTAATTTGGGTGCTTGCTGATTCAATGCCATCTTTTTTTAAAATCAGGGTACAGAACCAAAAAACTATTTCCTTATTATTTCTTAAAATGAGTCACTCCTACGTGAATGAGTTATGAAAAAAAGGAGAGAAAAATTATATAGCTAACAAGGAATCAGGGCATGGAAAGCATAAGCATCATTGTTTTATCCTCTAGCCAAGTTAAGCACTTAGTGAAAATTCGTCATTAGCTTAAGATAAATACGTTAGTATACATCTGGAGAAGCAGCAAACTCTAGGATATGAATATCAGATTGAATCTACACACTAAACAAGCAAGCAAACACTACATACCAATACTAGAAAGAGTCTCTCAAATAACATAATTTATCGTGGTAACTTCCATGCTGAAGCAACGATCAAGTTCTTGTCTTCCCAACCAAAATGAAGAGCATCCATTTCCTCCTTTATCTTGTACCTGTCGCAATACATCACCTTAATAAGTTTCTGGATTTCATTAGTAACATTTGCACTCATGGGGGATGAAGTGAAGCCAGCCATTGTCATCCTTGCTCTCCATTTTCCCGCAACTTCATACCGTTCTATCCTATCCTTACCCTCACATGCTACAACATTGACAATGTCCCTTGCTAAGCATTGCCTTTCAACATTCATCCTGTCTTGACTTTCTCTAGGAAGAGTAACATCAAGCGACTCGAACACAGCAGAGTAATAAGTGTAGGCTTCAACAAATCTAGGTAAGAAGGGGGTGGTGTTTGTGTTTACATCTTGCTCCACAACTGTTACAAGCTTTGGATTCAAGCTCTTCACCATGCGAAGAAGCTGGTCTCGTTCGTTTACTGTCGAAACACTCTCATCAGGCATGTGATGAAGCTGGAATGCAAAATTCACCACAAGTGCTTCACCGGGGCGACAGTTGAGCATTGATGGGGTGACAATGGAAGTCTTTGATGCCACTGCTCGAAACTCAAATGGCAAACCAAGTTCTTTAGCCAGTTCTTCAAGTCTAAGTCCTATGATTTGTAGGCCTCCAACGGATCGTTGCACAGACTCAGGATCATCAACCCCGGTTAATCTGACATGGGGTGGCTTACTTGACCTCGAAGCAAGTGCTTGTATTAGATTTATATACTGACTTCCTTGATTGATGTCAAAATCTATTATATGAATCTTCATGTCATCTTTCACTGCCTCAGTGATTGCATTGTTAGCAGCAACAAACCCAAATTTAAAACATGGGCAAACCTCAAAAAGTATCTGCATTGCTGCTAGACGGTCTGAAGAAGGAGGTTCCTTGCATTTCAAGGCTTTATATATACTCTTGCCAGATTCAGCCAAGCGAGCTGCAAGTCCCTCGACCATATAGGCTGCAATTCTTTGAGAAGGCTCTCCCTGAATTGAGACCATCTGCCTGAGACCATTTATCATGGATGAGCCTTCCTCTTCGTTCCCTTCTGAAAGTGCAATAGCACATTCATAAAGCAGTTGCTTGGGGGTCTGAGAAGTTTGTGTTATTTCTTTGGTGCTGCTGATGCTGCTAATATTGGAGTCTGAAGAGGAATACTCCTTTGGAGAGTCATGAAGCAGCATGTTCTGCATGGAATCAGCCCACCCTGCTATCTCAGGATCAATCTCCATGCTTTGAGCAGTCCCAAATATGTCTTCCTCCTCTTCCTCCTCGGCATCACTATCATCAAGCAATGCCCTCTCCAATGCTTGTAGTTTTAATTTCATTAAATCATCATTGTTACGTGAATCCAGGCTACTATTCTCCATCAAATCTGATCCCAAGTTGGATGGATAAGCATCATGATGCCTAGTAGACATGAAGGAAGTACCGAATGGATTATTAGCAGCCATAAAAGTTCCTGAACTGGATCTGAGATGATAAGAAGAGGCACCATCAGGGTGAATTGAACTTCCAGAGATACCAGAACAAGATGGTTCTATCAGTTCTTCTGTTTGTGAGTCAAGGAAGTACTTCTCGTAACTCTTGCCGGAGTAAGTATTTGTCATGTACATGTTTCTATGCTTATCAGGACCAAAAATTTGGGAGCACAAGCCTGGTCTAACACCTTGCTCCTTTAGTGAGTAGAGCTTTGCATTTTGATACGATGTTGGGGCTACCTCAGCAGATCTAACTAATGACATGGTTCACCTGTTATTCAGTTCACACAGAATTTTAAACTGTATCAATAAAATGACTTATTTGATAGAAAAATGCTGTAAAGTCTGCAATATACTACCAAGATTTATGATTTTGCCCCCTTTCTCATCTTAAGATATAGTCACCAGGTAGAGTCACTCACTGATAAAATCTTGCTGAATTTTCTAGGATGACTGTGCCCTGATAGGGGAAGAAAACAAAGTTAGAAGAACTTTTTAGGCGGAACAGTTAATCTATATGAGTATGCAAAAATATACTAGATAAACTTATATAAGTTGAGTGGTCGCAGTCACAAATAACAGTCAAACCATCATGAATAAGCTGGTTGATAATTCATGACATTTCAATTAACAAAAATGTGAAAAAGTGAACATACTTGCATGAACTTGCACTCATATACTCCTCATACATTCCCATCCAAGTCATTGGCTCTTTGGTCACACTATATCATTTTTTTTAATGGTTTAGATTATGCACATCTCTCACATAATCTGTGCAAGTATCTTTTCCCATCTATAGTAATGAACTAATCATGTTCAATATTTCAATGGAAACAGAATTGGTGCTGCTTGATTCTTAGAAGAGCCACTATGGTTGAAATTATTCAAGTACTAACTATGATCTCACTTTGCCAACCAAGAGGATGAGTTTTAGATTTAGTCAAACATGAGTTGACATGGCAGTTTAATTTCCACCTTGGAATAGCAAAGACCATTATACCTAAATAGTGACTTCCCTGCATCTGGAAAAGCAAAATAAATTTTTGAAAAACTTATGTTTTTTATCCATTTACAGTACGATCTTCTGTCAGCAGATAGCAGAGTCCAATAAACATAACAAATGCATTCTTGAAATCAAATCAAATCCACCGGTAACAAAGAAATCGAATCTTTGATCCTCATCTGCAAAACTAGAAAATGAAGAACTTTTGGGAGGTTGCAAACCATTTGCTCTTCGAATATGATATATTAACTCTAGCCTAAAACAACATCGAAATGAAATCCTTGCTATGAATACAAATTAAGATTTTAAAGATTAAAAGACTCATCAACGGACGTTCCAATTCAGATTGATCACTTAGATGAAAATGATAACCATGCACAAACTTTTTCCATAGCATTTATGTCTATACATGAGATCATCTCCGGGTAGCAATATCCTCTATGAAGAAATAATTCTCCCTTGTTTGAAATTCCAGCCCAAGATGAGTAGAAAGATTAAGCCATAGTTAACAGAAAAGGCTAAACAAAACAAACCTTTCAGAGCACAGAATTTAAAACTCGATTAGAAAGTAAATTTTGACAAACACCCAATAAGAGGAGAAACTTAAGACCCTTTTTTAATGTTTTACAATTACATGCATCATACTAAAATATATGTAATCAATTATGTGTAATCTAAGACTGCAACAGATAGTACCTATTATCACAGGGAGGGATCCAAGTTAGAGTTTTCATTTATTTGGAAAAACCAAGTTAAAATATTTAAAGCAGATCATCTAGATTGTAGAGGTAGAAGTTATAGATGAATCACCCCAAAGACAAAGTGTACCTGGTGCAATTAGAAACCTAGAAGCAGACAGATCATAGCAGTATTCCTACCCTGTCATTTTGAAGAAAGAGAGATGAGGATGAAATTGAGAACTGTGTAGAGGGAGAAGAAAGCTTAGCATAGGCGTTTGACAAATGCCATAGAGATATCATATAGCCAAGCCAAATGGCAAGACCCCCACTTGATGATGGTTTTTCTATATAAAAATATTGTTGGAGTAGGAGTTCAGGTTGGTACAAAAGCAACACATGAGACAAAAAGCCAATATTAACAAGAGGGAATTTTGGGAACCCATATCCACAGTCAAATAAGTAAGTGTATGGAAATTAAGAAAACAAATCTTGAAACTCGTAAGGTAAATTTACACTCCCTGTTTTTTTTTTCAAGCAGATGCTTAAATTGTTTTACTTTCCATTTTAATTAGAAAGTTCATATTTTCCTTTACTGAAACATAAAAACAATTAAAACGAGTTTCTAAGGAGAATCTTTTTATTTAATTGTTGGCATAATTTCTAGCTAATTTTGAGAAACCTATAATCGATTTTAGAATTTAAAAAAAAAAATTAAAACATTCAGTAACGAAATTCCTACACTGTCCTCCCTGCTTCTAGTTCATTTTTCATATTGAGCGTTGTGGCGGCAATAAGTAACAAAATTCAGGTCTTTTCGTAGAAACATGACACGAGAATTAACGTAGAACGTAGAATTTTTACTGTGCCTAAACGACGTAGGATCTTACGTCACGATGGGATCACTGTTCTTTTTGTAGGCGTTGAATATGGAACAGGAATAGTTACAAGTGTTGCAATTTTCTGTTATTATAGCCTAAAGAAGTAAAATAAAATGCCAAGGTTGACAAAGTCAAAGTTTCGTAGGGTCGTGTTCTTTTCGTATATTGGACTTTGCTTGGTGCAGACACCAATATTGGTTACATAGTGTTATTGGTAGACAATTTTTCAGTTTTGCATCTGTGGGATCCTCAAGGAGCATGCGGATTTAAGACTTATACTATACCCTCTTTTTTCAGTCTTTTCCACTAAAGGTAACGAGGGATCAAACATTTCAACAAAGTAGAGTATGATAAGTCTATTTATATTTTAGTTGCATTATGATAAGTTTTATATATATAATGATGTACTTTCTTTCTCAAAAATATTGGTAGAACATAAACTTTTTATTGAAGGCTTTTGATTCTTTTAAACTATATATATTTTAGTTGGTACTTGTGTTGGGTGATAGTTATTATTATATTTTAAAACATATATTTTAATTTAAAACATTTTTAAGAAAAAAGATGGTCATCGTGTACACTAACGGTGGAGGAAAGGGAAGTGTATCCAATGTTGTGTGAAACGAATCAAACGAGTCATCAATCATAGGTTAGGAATAACGGGAATTATTATGCAGTTGAAATTGCATAGTGCCTCCAACGATTAATATCCACTTGTTATATTTCTTAATAACATCAAGTCCTAATCATATGGCCCCATCTTATCCAAATCAGGGGTGTTGGATTGCAGGGTAAGCAAATAAAGATAACATACTAAAAATAAAAAATGAGAAAACATTCACTATCTTCGTCGCTCGATCATTATACTTTCTGCTTACCCTTTAATTTTATCAGTTAAATTTTCACTGCAAAAGTAGTAATGTCAGTCACTTCATAAAAATTATAGATAAGTACCATACTAACATTCCAAGACAAATGTGACCTCCTAAATATTCATATTCAATTAATTGGACCCATCATATTTGAAAATCCGTTGAGATACAAGGGATCAAATTGAAATTTCATTGAATAATGTGTTTACTATTTCGTACATATTTCCATTTTAAAACAGAGGCGACCATAGAGAATTTGAGGATAGTATTCACTGTTAAGCAGAAATAGTAATACTAATTAAAAAATAGCCTATCAAAACTATAGTCTTGTTCAAAATTCAAGATTGGGCTGCACCTAACCACATTTGAACTTAGATCAGCGTTCACATTATTTAAATAAAAGTGTTCTCGATTGAGAAGGAAAGTACATGGAAATTAGGTTGCCTCTGACCATAGAATGCTGTATATTTTGCTGACACTGTGTATGTAAGCTGAGTTAATGATAGTGAAATAACCACTGAATTTGAGTGCACGCGTCTTTTATTATTTATTTTTTGTCAATTACATGCATGCGTCGGTGTTAGAGTTACTGGATTATATGGCCCGTTCTGCATGGGCCTTAGTGTTACTGGGTCAGGGTTATGCATATAAGACAGCATCATGGACTACTTAATAATAATAAAATTTATCATACTTTGTATTTGTTTTTCTATTCATTTTCATTTGGTGGCTTTTAATATGGGAGAAGTTTCAATCTCAAAATTAGGAATGTTCATACTTTTTTTCTGTTGATCGAATAAACCTGATCAACTTAACCTAATTTAATTAAAAATTAGTAGATTGGTTCGAATAATCAACTCAATTTAAGTAAAAATGTTACCATTCAATGAAGTACGAGTTGAATTATGAGCATGTAATGTTAAATCTCATAATCTTATATTTTTATATTTTTTTGACGCAAAATTTTTTGTGTTAACCCTTTTTTTCTCCCTTCCATTCTTCTATTTTATCTTTTAAATACTTCTTTTTCGTCTTTTTCCAAACTTCTAAATAGAACTTTAATGTTCAATTGGATCAAAATTCTCAGTATATTTTATCATCCATTCAGGGATCAAATAATTTTAAAATAAAAATAAAATAGGTTAAAATATAGGATTGGGTTAACTTATAATTTTTTTTTGAAAGAATTATTATTATTATTATTATTAAATGCTTAACCTCAATTTTAGTAATTGAAAATAATATTTTCTTAAAATATATTTGTTAATCCTTTTGTTAATTTTATCTATCAATTTTGATGTAATATATATATATATATATATATATATATATATATATAATTCCAACCAATCATATGTTATCAAATTTAAAAGTTTTAATTTTTTAATAATGTTAACATATGATTGAGTACATTCACAATATTTTCATCTGTACATTCTTTTATACTGTTTTGTTTGAATAAAACATTTATTTTAAACCAGAGAAAATAAGTATTATACTTAACAAGAAAAAGAAACGAGGTCTCAGAGTGGTACCAAAGCAAGGAATGGGCCTCGTTGCCTAGCGAAATAGGGACAATATTAGACAATAAAAAAAAAAACTTTTACTGAGTATTTCAACAACCCATTCATTACAATACAACAGTGATTTTTTTAAACAACAATATATATTTTTGGTAATTTGAAACTCTATCTTTTGTAATTTTGCTTCAAAAACATTTTACTCCCATATAGTATGAAATTATGACATTTTATCTCTGTGATTAATTTAACTTAAAAAAGACTTGACTCATTGTGTTATAAAATTTAACATTTCACTTCCTCGTGCATTGCATCATATAAATCACCTTGATAATTATCCAATTTTTATTTTCTAAGATGAATACACATTAAAAAAACAAATTACATTTCTAATTTATCCTTCACATACTAATTATTCAAAAACGCATTACCTCTTATGTTTTGATAAAAGAAAAAAATAATGCTAAATAGTATCTAATTATTAATAAACATGCAGATTAATTAGTAGGTATTATTTCAGTTTGATACGTAGTTTTGCATTCAAGTTTTAATGAATACAATAATTTATTTGACTGAAATATAATTATATCTAATAAAAAAAATATTTTATAAAAAAAACACACCAGCTAGTTAATTAAGAAAAAAAAAAAGATGATTTTATAAAACAAAATACAGTGAGATTGGGGAGGCTGCCGCCAAAGGATAACGATTACAGCCCCCATAGAAAAAAAATTCAAAAAAGCAGCCAAAGATTTACTTTATGTTTTTCTTAAAAATTCATGAGTTCACTTTATACCATTGAAACTGTGTCAGAATAAAGTCTATGCAAGTACTATTGTTATATATACTCTTTGCATCCTCTTCAATTTCCATAGTTTTTTTTTTGGCGTGGCTAAAATATCAATTTCATGTTTGTAAAGCCAATAAAACTATAATCAAAACATTGTTATGAAATTAACATGAAATAACGACAGCTATTAATAAATGTTGCAATAGGATCTCTACAATTAATTTAAAACAAATGCTTAAACTAAATTTCTTGATTTGACAGAAAATAAGTAAATCTCTGAATATTTAAAAACCTCCGTTGCTTTTACCTACGATTCCGTTGTCACAGAAAGACTTGTAAATCCCATTTTATGTTACACATCACTGATCCTTAATTGCTCTATCTGCCAATCTACCCAAAATGATTAGACAGACACATGACTCAGCAGAAACAATAATGTGAGGTTAGCGGACATCAGTTTGCGTGGAAAAGAGCAAGTGGGAGGTTGATTAACATATATACACATACCTGTAATATTTATCACCATATCAAGTATAGTCTGCATACATTAATGATTTTAGTATGGAACTAAGTTTTAATTTGCATTTCTAAATGGGTTCTAAGAATCGGTAGGTAAGATGTCATTCTATTGTTATTTAATAATAACTGTACCCTAATTTATTTTTGCTATGCCAAGTTGAAAGGCATTAAGCATGCCTCGTGTATATAACAAGTCACATGATCTGTTTCTAGTAGGCAACCAAGACTAAAAAGGGTTTGATCTAATGATAAAGTAATATGCCTAGCTCAACAAAATGACGGCAATCAGTGCAAATGCTCACTGACTTTGATTTGGACAGCCCATCACGTTTCAAAGCATAGGGCCACAGTATTTGGATTAGGTTCCAAACAGAGAACAAATAATTAAAATTTGTGCTAAATTAGGATTAATTGGGTGTTTTAGTAGGTTATAGTATAGTATATAATATCTTTGTTGTTTTTTATCTGTCTATATTTAACTTTTAATACATTTATTATGTAATATAAATAACATTTTCATTTATTTATCTTTCAATTATTTGTGTTCTTTAACAATTATATAAAAATAAAATAGTAATTCTTGTTTTTTCTTTTAATTTTTTAGAAAGATAAATAAATAAATTCGAAGTAAGAGAACAAATGGCATTTAACCTTCATGTCTAGTTGTAATTGGCCTGGCTTATGCTTATGGGCTTCTGTAGTTGCTAATGAAAGCCCACATTGGTGAAGTTGCACACATTCTTGGGTGACGAATTGACTATAAGCATGATGGACTAAACATTGGTTCATAATTAGTCGAAAGAATT